GCATTACCTGAAGAAGGACAACTTGTCCAAATGATCATTAGAAGGTGGGTGTCTTGGCCAGTGCCATGGCTCAATAGGCTAGTCCTCCACCTGTGGCGCCAGCACACTGGGTTCTAGTCCCGGTTGGAGCGCCGGATTCTGCTCCGGTTGCCCCTCTTCTAGGCCAGCTCTCTGCTGTGGCCCAGGAGTGCAGTGGAGGATGGCCCAAGTCCTTGGGCCCTGCACCCACATGGGAGACCAGGAGAAGCCCCTGGCTCCAGATTAGCGCGGTGCGCTGGCTGCAGCGCACTTGCCGCAGTGGCCATTGGAGGGTGAACCAACGGTAAAAGAAGACCTTTTCTATCTCTCTCACTGTCTACTATACCTGTCAAAAAAAAAAAAAAAAAAAAAAAAAGTAGGTGTCTTTAAAAGGAGAAGAACAAACCATTGGATTTTTTTTAATTATCCAAGGATCCCACAGCTCATCTGAGGCTCACACAGAATGAATAGAAGGCAAACAGGAACACAGTGCAAACTGTCCACCACAATTCTTTCCACACTGGATTTCCTAGACTACCTTTATCTACAGTGATGCTTCCTAGTCAGTTCTCCAACTTGCTGTGCCTTTTCATGAAGAACTCAATATACACAGTTCCCTAAACCCAGTCTTTGATGTCGGTTTGGAAAGTTCAAGGTCAGCCTGGGCAGTCAAGTTCTGCCAACCCCTTCCAAAAAAACCAAGCAACTGGTCAACATCATAGAGGCTGAAGGAGCTTCAAGGACTCATTCTTCTAAGAGGGCCTTCATATAGACACCAGCATAATGGGACAGTGGACTAAGCCACCACTTCCAACACTACCATCCCACATGGGAGTGCCAGATCAAGCCCTGGCTGCTCTGCTTCTGATCCAGCTCCCTGCTAATGTGCCTGGGAAGGCAGCACCAGATCGCCTGAGTCCTTGGGCACTTGATGGGAGACCAGGATGGAGTTCTTGGTTCCTGGCTTTGGCCTGGCCCAGGTCTGGCTATTTCAGTCATTTGGGGTATAAACCAGCAGGTGGAAGATTCTCCTCTCTCTTTCTCTCTCTTTCTCTCTCTTCTCTCTCCCTATCTCTCTCCCTGTCTCTCTCTCTCTCTCTCTCTCTCTCTCATCTTTTTTTTTTTTTTTTTTGACAGGCAGAGTGGATACTGAGAGAGAGAGACAGAGAGAAAGGTTTTCCTTTTTTGCTGTTGGTTCACCCTCCAATGGCCGCCGCGGCCGGCGCACCACGCCAATCCGAAGGCAGGAGCCAAGTGCTTCTCCTGGTCTCCCATGGGGTGCAGGGCCCAAGCACTTGGGCCATCCTCCACTGCAGTCCCGGGCCACAACAGAGAGCTGGCCTGGAAGAGGGGCAACTGGGACAGAATCCGGCGCCCCGACCGGGACTAGAACCCGGTGTGCTGGCGCCGCTAGGTGGAGGATTAGCCTATTGAGCCGCGGCGCTGGCCTTTATCACTCATCTTTCAAATAATTTTTTTAAAAAGCATTGTTCATATACCTCACAGTCACTTTATAACCATTCAGATATTGATTCATAAACTCCAAAATTCTCATTCCAGACTCTTGGTAGGATCCTTGAGTAAACTGTTATAAAGAAAGCTGCCCAAAAGCAAAAATGTGACAACAAGCAGTACAGGATGGAAGAGAAGATAAAGAAGCAAGGAGGTACCCAAGAACTTTGAGGATTTGCACAGAGATCCTTGTAGAGGGAAAGTCCTTAAGCTTTGTTCTACCAAGAAAAAAACATGACCTATACAAAGAAGTCTGCACAACTCTCATGAAATAATTTAAAAACCAAGAAAGCATTAATAAACAGAATAATTAAACACCAGGTGCAGCAAAACTAGGAGGTCAAGGACCCGGATGATATGGGCCAACATGGATGTGAATGTGTCATCTCACAGTTTAATTATAAACCAAAATGCCGTCAACTTAATGAGGAATTTCCCGCTGCATCCATGTAAATTCATCTTTGAGAGATGAGTGTCCATTTTCAGCACCGAGCAGGGAATAGGACAGAAGTCCACTGGCAAAGTGCTCGGCATTTCAAAACTGAACTAGACGGCATGTTTGTTCCCAGCCTGAGCAGTCCTCAAGAGCAGGACTTTTCAGATCTGGAGAGCTTTCTCTCCCAAGGTTTTGGATACGCTTGGGTTAGCCTGGGAATGCCTGCACAGTTTGGGCCTAGGTAGCCAAGGTGCTGGTCAAACTGAAATGGCCAACAGCATGGCCCTGCTGACCTGCTGCGGGTCACAATGGCAGTCAGGGGTCTCCACGGTGACCTCTCTGAGTCATGGGGGCAGAACTGTGGGGTTAATGACATCCCAAGACTGGAGCGACCATAGTGCCAAGAACAGCTTTGACTACTGTAAGTAATCCCCATGCCTCACATTTAGATGAAAATATTTGAAAATTTAATCTGTGCTTGGGAACCAACTGGTGAGGTGCTGCAGGGGAAGAGTTCTGTGTGAGAGCCAGGAGGTCCCCTCAGTGCTCTTGTCCCCTTGGAGTCACCGAAGCAGAACCCAAGAGGGAAGGAAAGTCAGAGAAAAGGATTCTGGTGAGCTCGAGCAGAAACCAAGAACGAGACCGTGGGGATTCCGTGTTTGCCCGAGTGCTGGGTGATGGCCTCCATGGGCGCCAGAAGTATCACTTAATTGGAGATTATTATCCAAGTAGCCAGCAGAGCCACCCAGAATCCCTGAGAGATGTGTTCTTGGTTCATTTAGGTGGTTCCGGGGAGAAACCTTTCCAGGACCCATGTACGGCCACAGCTGTTTTCCCTGATCTGCATCCTTGCAGCACCCACGTAAGTCTACAATTCTTTCATAGACCTTGTTCTGCCTCCGGCCACTGCGGGTTCAGTTTCTTATTCCCTTTACAATCCAAAGCTCCTGCTCTTTTCTCCTAGAATGATATTTATTTCTAGATCATTCCACCTTTTATTCACCAATTAACTAAAATCCAATCTACCAGGATTTTCTACCTTGCTTTCCTAAAAAAAAAAAAAAAAAAAAACAACACTCTGATTCTTAGTGGCTTCAAGATGTTCTGTTCAGAGTCCTCAGGTTAGGCTCGTGTGGATTACAGGTGTGTCCTCTGGGAGGGTGAATATGAATACATTTTATTTCACTTCTCAGAGACCAGGACTCCAATAAACAGAATTTCATTGTGGAAAAACTAAAATAACCACTCCATTTTACAAGGTTGCTTGCTGAAGGAAGCAACTATGTAACCGTTCCTTCTAGAACTTAATCCCCTTACTAGAGGTGAAAATGTCATCTTACAACGAAAATTATTAGATAGGATGGATTCGCCTTTATCATATAAAGTTTAATCCAGACCTGCCTGGTTTTCCTTTATTGTTCTGTCACTGAAAACTTCCTACAGATGTATGTTGAAACCGCAATGACACTCGTATGAGAGATGCTTTGGGTTGGAGCATTCTTTGATAGATATGTGTTTGTGTGTATGCATATGGATATGTTGTCTATTTTTAAATAAGTTTTATTTATTTATTTATTTGAAAAGCAGAGCAACATATAGGAGAGAGAGAGGGAGAGAGAGGGAGGGAGAGGGAGGAGAGAGAGGGAGGGAGAGGGAGAGAGGGAGAGTTGGGGGGGGGGAGAGAAATCGTCCATCCACTGTTCACTCCCCAGATGCCCACAACAGCCAGGGCTGGACCAGGCCAAAGCCAGCAGCCCAGAATGCCCACCAGGAACCCAACCACTTAAGCCATCATCTGCGGCCTCCTAGAGTGCACGTTAGCAGAAAGTTGGAATCAGAAGTGGAATGGGGACTCAAACCAGGCTCTCCCCTAAGGGATGCAGGCACCTAAAGGGGCTTGCTAATCACTGCACCTAACACGCACTCCAGCCGAGCACCTGTTAGCCTTCCAGGAGAGTTAAACCTCTAAGCCATTAAAACTCCAGATGAAAATTACCTAATAATTTTCATAAAACTCATGGCACATTATTCTATAGGAAATAGGAGGGGACTTCTAAAGACTCACAGAAAAATAGACTAAAAATAAATACTTTTGCATGCAAAAAATGTTTGAAATCCAGCACAGTCATTTCATAACATCCATTTCCCTTGAAGTTTGTGCAGACCCCTCATATTCTCCACTCTCCACTCTGCGCCTTGCTCGTTTACTTCCTCCTGTGCGTGGTTACCCAGTTTCCAAAGCACACAGCAAAACCAGAGGGTGAAAGCATAGACAAGGGGAGATGGCTGTCATTTTAGGTTGGCAGCTACAGTAAGTGACAGCTGGCTGGCAGGGGAAATGGAGGAAGATACTTCTAAAAGCCAATAAAGGGGGAAGAACATTTGATGCATTGGTTAAACTGAGCTTGGGACACCCACATCCATTGGGGAGTGTCTGGGTTCGAGTCCCAGCTCTGCTTCCAATTTCAACTTCTTGCTAATGCTCACACTACGAAGCACCAGATGATAACCCAAGTGCTTGGGCTGTTGCCACCCACACAGGCAATATGGACTGAGTTCTGGGCTCCTGCCTTCTGTCTGGCTCTGGCCAGACTATTGCAGCCATTTGAGGAGTGAATCAGCAGATGGGAGATCTCTCTCTCGCTCTCTCACTCTCACTCTCTCGCTCTCTACCTTTCAAAGAAATTAATTAAGAAATTAAAAAAAAAAATCCAGAGACCTAGGAGCTCAAACCCAGGAGATCCAGAGTAATTTAGTACCAGAGCAAGCAACCCAGTGTGGCTCTGCGGTCATCACTTTGCTGTGATAACTGACATGGGATCCTCTAGTGTTGGAGACAGAAAGATACCCGTAGGATCTAGTCCAACTCTCCCAATTTGCAGATGAAGAAACAGAGGCCGCAGGATGCACTGGGAGCCCCTGTGCAGGATCGCGGCTGGTTGCATGGTGCAACAATGGGAGCCAGACCCTCCTGACCCCAGGGGCCAGCTTTGTCCTCCCCACCCCGCCTCAGAAGGATTTCATGTCTCAGTTTGAAAAGGCAATGAAGGTTTTCTCCTTTCCTCCGCCATCGTGGTGGGTGTCCCTGATTCTTCCTCGCCATGTCTTCTCACAAGACCTTCAGAATCAAGAGGTTCCTGGCCAAAAAACAAAAACAAAACCGCCCCATTCTGCAATGGATTCGGATGAAAACTGGTAATAAAATCAGGTATAACTCCAAGAGGAGACATTGGAGAAGAACCAAGCTGGGTCTATAAGGAATTGCACTTGAATGGCGTGCTCATTTCTTCTGTCTCAATGTCACAACGTCACTATCACCACATCAAGTTGAAGATGTCACCATCATCTGGACAGCTGGACATGTTTGATTAGGGCTGTGACCAGTGGGCTGGTTCAGTAATAAATATGTGATCCCTTTTGAAAAAAAAAAAAAAAAGAAAAGAAAAGGCAATGAAGGACTAAGCACTGAGAGGCTTTCATGACATAGTGCTTGAGTTGGCTCAGTAGAGAATTAAATGAGATAAAGCATAGAAAATTCTCTAAAATTCTCATAACTATTATTATGATTTTTTAAAATATGAAATATGAAAGTGAGAATTTTAAATAATATTTTAAATTATTTTTGCTGCATCAGAAATTTTTCATGAAGCAATCAATTGCTAGGTGTCAAAAGGTTATCATCAGAAAGATCTCCCATATGTACCCTGATGAAAAAAGTACTCCAGGGGCCAGTAATGTGGCATACTGGGTAAAGAGGGCATCCCATATGGGCGACATCTCATATGTTGCGGCCATTTGGGGAGTGACCCAGCAGATGCAAGACCTCTCTCTTCTCTGCCTCTGCCTCTCTGTAACTCTGCCTTTCAAATAAGTAAAGTAAATCTTTTAAAAAATAAAAGAATCCATGACCATACAAGATTATACATATAAATAAATATATATAATCTTTCCTTTAAATATTACACAAAGGTTAGCAGCTTGACCACTTTGATTTTCTTCTTTGCTTATGATTTATTTATTCATTTATATAAGAGGCAGAGTTAGAGACAGTGAGAGGCTGAGACAGAGAGGTCTTCCGTCCTCTGGTTCACTCTCCCAATGGCCACAACAGCCAGAGCCGGCCCAATCTGAAGCCAGGAGCCAGGAGCTTCTTCCACATCTCCCATGCCAGTGCAGGGGCCCAAGCACTTGGACCATCTTTCACTGTTTTCCCAGGCCACAGCAGAGAGCTGGATCCGAAGTGGAGCAGCCAGGACTCGAACCTGTGCCCAGATGAGATGCCAGTACCCCAGGCAGACTTAACCTACTACACCACAGCACCAGCCCCTTCTTTCAGTTTTAAATATAGAGTATTTCTCTATTTCCTCAGAAAAGGCTGAGCTCTTATTTGCAATTTCATAAGCACTAAATAGTGAATTTCTATGGGCCAAGTCATTGGCAGAACAAGACTCTGCAAAGTGAATCTAACCAGGCTGAATGATAACATAATGGGATTCCTTTATAGAGAGTCTTTGGGAGTGAGTATCACTGTTCCTACTTTAAGTGTAATCTATCAAGGTCTCCTGCATGGAGTTATGTTTCTAGAAACAATGCTTTTCTTGGGGTATAGCTGAATGCATGCAACCACATGCATTTTAGTGCATGGGTTTACTGCGAATCACCATGGTTTTTACATAGCAGACAAACCTTTAAAACATACTCCTACTTTTCCCATTCTTTCTCTACATTCTTGAAAAACATAGGCTATTACCTCTCTGAATAATCAAACACAAATTAAGCATAAACAAAACAAATTAGATAAATGCTTGGATTGAGAAGGGAAGAGAACAGTACTTGATATTTTAGCCTCGGCTTGAAATAAATTCTTTACATAATCATTGTGATTCCATATTGTTAAAGCAATGATTCCAAGTAAGAAGATCAAGAAGTAGATTAAATGGTAGTTATATCCTTGGCACCAAGTAAATCCTACAAAAGGAAAAATAAAAATAAAACCAACTCTTTTGGTTGAAGATTTTGTGTAATTCACTTTTTATGACCATTCATACTTACTTGTTCATCCAGCTATCCTCACATTCACTACTGGGTTCCTAAAGGTTACAGAAAGCCTTGCAATCAGGAATACACAGGAAATTGGAATTCAAGGTGACTGATGTGAAATGCACCACCCCAAGTTTCATCTTGGGATATTTGGATTATATTTAAAGTGGAAACCTTTGGGGCATGACCTTTAATCACCAGGTTGCCTTGGAGATGAGACCTACCTTGACTCTCTTCTCCCATCCCAAGGTGTCATCCATTTCCACAACTTGAAGTGCCATGAAAGTAATGGCTTTATTGATATTTCCAGCTCTGCCCTCTCCCTGGACTCCAGGAGTCTTCTCTGCCCACCTGTTTGCTGGATATCACTACAGGCTGTCTCTGGGTGCCCCCCCCCCCAAAGGATTCACCAAAAAGCTCATACTGAAGCTTTGGGGCTCCTCGGTTACTCAGGAGCCATCCAAGGCCCTCTGGCTCATTTTGTGGGTGTTTGTTGTTGTTGTTGTTGTTTTCTTATAAAGGATCTGAAACTGTGTAACTTTCAGGTCTCATAAAACTTGTATCTGCTTCCACACCCTATATCCAGCTCCATTTGCAGAAGAAAGTCTTTAAAACCAACCACTTCAGACACTGTTGATGATCTCCTCCACAGTCCAAGCTACCATCTACTGTGGAATAGAGCAATGGCCTCGCATGATCCCTGCAGCTTCCCCAGTTCCCCTCTTATGGGCTGTGTCCTGTGTGACAGCCATGGGGGATGACCATGCACATCACATCACATCTTCAACCCTCCCCCATGGCATCCCACTCTCCCTAGAACAAGTCACACAACTCGATTATCATAATGCCCTAGGTGACCCGGCTTCTATTTTCCTTCCAGCTCTTTCCCTCTGGGCTCATTCCCTTCTAGCTATACCTTCCTTCCTGGAATACACCAGGCTTCTTTTTGCCTTAGAGCTTTTTTTACTGTGTCCTCTGCTTGGTTGAACCTGCCCTATTTCTTATCTCATCTTTCAGCTCAAACATCACCATCCCTCAAAAGACTGTGTCCCTAGTAGCACCCTAGACCCACCCATCATTATTGAGCCCATTATCCATTTTTCACTTATCACTATGTACAGTTAGTTATCTTCTCAGCTTACTTGTTTGGTATCTTGCTTCTTTCAAAAGACTTTAAGTTCCATGAAGGTGGGAACCTTATCTGCAAGCTCACCACTGAATCCCACACCCTTGCAGCACTTGCCATGAGAAGGTTTCCATCAAATAATTGTCACATGAATGAACGAAATGCGCATTGCAGTCAAGTGTGAGACAGAAAGAAGCACTACACATAGGGCTGGTGGAAGTCTTTTTAATTTCCTTCTCATTAACAATTGGTATAGACTGTTAAACATCTACCCTGCCAGTAGCTGCAAATTTGAGATGTGGATTGATGTCACAATTCATGCTTCACTAAGTATGTCATCATAATGCTGAGGTAAAATGTTTATGTCATTGCTGTCCAAACTGTAAGTTACTTGCTATAAATAGCAAAAAGATGACAAGGAAAACAACCCTGCCTGAATCCCCCCTTTCCTTCCTCTCTCCAATGATTGGTTCAGGAATGAGGGTCATGAATATTATCATCCATATATTCTGAACTCAGGTAAAAATGGGTGAAAATAGAAAAAAAAATCAGTAACTATGCTCTGATTCAATTTCCTCCAGATCTCTAAGGAAAAGCATTTTTTAAGTAATCATTTTGTTGATATATAATCCACATACCTTAACATTCAACCTTTTAAAGTGTACAATGGAGTGCTGTTTTAGTACGTTCACAGTTTAACATCCGTCACACTCAACAATATTTTCTTCACCTGAGAAAGAAAATCCATATGGGGCTGGTGTTGTAGCACAACAGGTTGGGGCACCTGCATCCCAAGTCCCATCCTTTGAGTCCTGGCTACTCTGCTTCTGATGCAGTTCCCTGGCAGGCAGCACAAGGTGGCTCAAGGGCTTGGCTCCCTGCGGCCCGCATGGAACACCCCCATGGAGTTCCTGGTGCCTGGATTTGGCCTGGCCCATCCATGATTGTTGAGGGCATTTAGGGAGTGAACTGGCAAGTGGAAGATCTCTTTCTCTTTTGCTCTGTTGCTCTTTCGAGTACACAAAAACAAACATTTAAAAAGGAAACTTTTTAAAAAATAGAGGAAGAAAAGACACTCCATACCCACTCATTCCCTCCCTGCTCTCTGCTACCCAGCCAGGGTCCCAGAAACATGACAACCACAAACCTACTTCCTGTCTCAATGGATCTGCTGATTCTAGACATTTCTTATAAGTAGAACCCCCCCATACTGTTTTTATGTCTTATTTCTATACTTTAGTGTGGGGAGCAATCCGGACTAGACTAAGTTACTCGAATTAGGACTTATTCTATGCATCTGCTCTCCCACAATATGGCGCTGGGAGAGAAGTAAACAGCTTCCGCACAGCTGCCTCCAGTTCAACTAATAAACTGTAGGACTTGCTCCTGATTGGAGAGCAGCGTACTCGGCGTGTGGGCAGCCGAGTTGGGATTGGCGGAGGAGGACTATAAAGGAGGAGAGAGACGGCATGCACGAGGAACATCTATGGGGAACATCTAAGGGAACCCGTGCAGCCCCTGAGAGAACCGGCCGGCGGTGTGCCGCTCCCCTGCGGAAGTGGGGAATGCGGCCAGGGGGAACTGCCCTTCCACGGAGGTGGAAGGGATAGTAGCCAACCCGGGAAGAACCAGCAGCAAACCCGGGGAGGGCCGAGCAGACGAAAGAACAGGCAGGGTCCTGTGTCGTTCCTCCACGAAGAGGGGGAGCGACACTTTAGGATAATGACTTTTTAAAGATTTGTTTATTTGTTTGAAAGGCAGAGTTACAGAAAGAGAGAGACAGGGACAGAGAGAGAGATTTTCCATCCACTGGGTTACTCCCCAAACAGCTACAATGGCCAGAGTTGGGCCAGACAGAAGCCAGGAGCTGGAAGTTGTCTTCTGGGTCTCCAACATGAGTAGCAGGAGCCCAAGCACTTGGGCCACCTTCTGTTGCCTTCCCAAGCCATTTAACAAGGAGCTGGATCTGGAGCAGAGCAGCTAGGACTTGAACCAGCACCCATACAGGATGCTGGTGCCATAGTCAGCAGTTTTACCTGCTTATAGTATAGTGCCAGCCCCAGTATAATGACTTGACGTTTCATCCACATTATAGCATGTATCAGTTATTGTTTTATTGGCAAATAATGTTCCATTGAATAGTTCTATTCCATTTTGTTTATCCATTCACCACTTGATGAAAGATTGTGTTGCTTCAACTTTTTTGCCATCCTGAGTATGTTACTATGAGTACTCATGTACAGGTTTTTTGTAAACATATGTTTTCATTTCTCTTGGTAC